GAAGGAGCGAGTTTCAAATGATAACTGCTGCTAACTTCACTCAAATCGAGATGAATACTTCGGGAGTATACCTCGAACAGCTGACGATTTAGATTATGACTCCGACTGAACACAACCGAAACTACTTGTGCAAAACAAAGAAGTTGCATCATGAACAATTATAAAGTTAGCGTAGTCACTGAGAATAAGGTAAGCTTATCGCTTTTACATAGCATCCACCTTATAATATACAAGTCAGATTATTTTCTGCATTATAGGATAAGATATCAAAAAATAAATTCTGATTAATCAAATGCAGCAGTCTTCTACAGTCAGAGTGGAATAGTGAATGAAAAAGGCCATATTATGATCGAGTAGATCTCATCAGGAATACTGCGCAAAGGATGAGGTGATCAGCGTAAGACCAATTACGAATTCGATGAACTGACAATCCCAATGGCATGTGACAAAACAAAAAAGTGCAACAAATATATCTCTGTCAATTAGCAACAGTGGCAAATTCGGAGATTCAGATGCGATAGATGTAGATGGGGCACTATAGGTAAAAGAGACAACAAAGTGATAACATGAAAATGCAAAAACTTCCTAAAGAACTTCCACGTATGTATTCTTACAGAAAACCCAATTGAAAAGTGATATAAATTTATCTGTACTAAGTATTTTTTATGAAGATAGATATCAAATTAGATACTGTTGCATTCCTGACAAGGCTCAAAATAACATTTCCAAAGTAATGGGAAATCAAACCATCGCTCGTTTGAACGCTCCTTCTATGAGCAGTATACGTAGGTGGTGGAATATCTGTGCTTGCTCGTCGACCCACCGGTGATGGGTTCCTCTTTGATGCAGTAACTCCGAAAACGTTACCGTTCTCATGGAACGAACGACTCATACCTGAATTAACGAACAACATGATCAGAACCATTGGTATAAAAATTCAAATTTTATAGTAAAATAAGCAATAAAACATAAGATATCTCTTCATCTAAACGATACTCTTGAGCTAAAGATGTTATAGCTTGACAATATTCAGTCACAGCTTCGGAAAAAGTCACGGATTGAATTCCTTAAAATTTGAGCAATGGCTTCAAACGATTGCGCGATTGAATGATCAAATAATGGCGATCCTTGACATCATCAGAAGAGATTTTAAAAAGTATTATATTAGTGTAGGAGAGTAAAATATGAAATTTCTTTCCACATGATATTCGTAAGCAGAAGTTATTGAGAGGAACAGCTAGGCTGTTCAACTGAGATCAGCTGCTTGATTTTTACGGCATGTGAAATACAACTCGATTTTCGTCAAGTTAGACAGGCATCATATTACAGCCTCAACTAGGATTAAAGTATGTGGTAGGGTTTTCAACAGAATTTTAACAGAACGCTTACAAATTGGTTAACATAACACTCAAATATGAATATAGATTTATAATGAGCAATAATTTTTCAATTAAATGCTTCAAATGAATCCGTTCATTGTTCCTATATTGTGCAACTAGTCATTTCGNTTTTTTCAATGATACTGCTGAGCATGATATTGCTTGGCTTTTTCTTACACTTATGAAGATAATCGATCGAAATACCCTACGTGACTACAAAAAATCACACATCGAATTATGGATTCAAAACGCAAACAGTAAATATTTCAGTTTTTGTGAATGCTCTTTCGCTCATGATCACTATAACAAAGCTAGTAGAACAAATAAATGCAAAGAATGCAGCTGTAACTGCAGGTGGTCCATTATATGGTTAAGCATCTATGCATGATGCTCTAAGCTCATAAGGATGCTTGAAAATGTTCTTTGTGATATTTAGCCTGTTATTTGCAAACGATCGCAAACGGTCAATAAAAGTACTCATGAAAATGATCTCCATCATTGTCAGTATATGGAATTAGCATTTGCATTTTTTCTTCCATTAAAATGGACTGATTTTTCAGGATGACATAGGAGATGAAGTATGAGCAATACGGCAATGATTAACACGAGGTCATGCTCAACAATCGCTTGTTGTAAATCGAAATATGAGAATCAATCAATCACCCACTAATTCAACAGCTGGGCTTAGTTGAAAAAAAAACAAACCAAATGAATTTACGAATTTACGTTAACATTTTTCAGTGATATCACATTTCACGCAAATTTCTTCTAATCGTTCAAATTCATATAATTGACAGCTGTGATGACGTCTCGAAGCAGGCACATCTGTTCATCACAATGATTCACCGGAGGGAGGAAGATGGTTCCTCCTAGGGAGGATTTAAGGACACTAAAGGGGAAATGCGGACATGGGCAAATCATGGTTGATTGATTTTTCCATTCCATTTCTCCAGAAAGGTTCACTAATTTCTCTCAAAATACATATTTGATCATACGAAACGGTTTCCTTCGATATCATCGATAAATTCTTGATGGAAAACATTTTCATCAGTTTATCAATTTGCTGATTTTCATCTGATTCATCACCAAGATGTGGCAGGTTATTAGCACAAGGAGGT